TATCTTATATTGCTTCCTTTCAGTTTCACACATTTGCATTTTCAGATACTGTTTTTCTGTTTCTAGAGTTATTAGGCTAAGCACCACCCATTAAATTTTTTTCACTGCTTATTAGATTTACTTTTTATTCTTGAATCAGTATTAAGGTGTGTTTATTGTTTGGTTATTTTCTCAGGTATTTTTTTCTCATGTGATTTTCTTGAGAAGTGTAATATTGGAGAGCTTGGCTAACCTCAGATGTTTTTGCCACCTTTCCAAATAAGGCTTATCTTTTTTTTTTTTTTATTGAGTTTATTGGTACATTTAGGGATACAGTACAGTTACATTCATTGTTGGGATCATGTACCTTTACATGGCAAGTCTTGATTCTCATTTTTTTCCCCTTACCTCTGCCCTCCCTTCACCCCCTCCTCCCCTCCCCATCTACAAACACTTTATTTTCATCTTTTCATTCTCTCACATTTTTTTCTTTTCCCTTTTTGTTCTTCCCCTACATATCACACCTTCCCTACACCTTTAGCTCCTTTCCTCCCATTTCTAAATGTCAGTAATCTTATTAGAATCTTATGCATTGTTGCAGAATATTCACACCAGGGAAACTATTTGGTATTTACACATGTGGGACTTATTTATTTCACTTAGGAGTATATCTTCAATATGTATCCATTTTCCTATGAATGAATCTATTCTCTCGCTCTTTATGGCTGAGTAATATTCCATTTCAAATAAGGCTTATCTTGACTGAAGATATAATTCATGGTTTCTACTGCTTTCCTTTCAAGCAGTTTAGATCCCTTTCCATTGTTTTCTAGCATCCATTGCTGATAAACCCAGCCACCAGTCTTATTTTTTTCCTTTGCAAGTAATTGTTCTATCTGGACATTTATATGATTTTTATCTTTATTAAAATTGATAAATCTTAGAAGGGTGTAAATAGTTATCTGTCTTTTCAATCTAACCTGAAACTTGGTGGTTTTCCTTTTCAGTTATCCATGAATGGTGTTTCTTGAGCCCACATTATTTTCCATTTGTTATTTACTTAATTCTTGCTTTTCTTCTGTCTGGTGCTTCTTCTCCTTTTAAGCACCTTTGTTTTTCCCCCACATAGTTTGTCTTCTGGATGAACTTTCAAGGTATTTTCCTCCCTCTTTTCCTTTACCATTTCCATTTAGTTAACTTTCTTTTCTATATTTTGAGATAATCCTTGTACTACATCTTCTGGTCAGCTATTCATCTGTCAAAAATAATGATCTTTAGTGCTGGGGATTTAGCTCAGTGTCACTGTGCCTGCCTCACAAGTGCAAGGTCCTCAGTTCAATCCCAGGTATCAACAACAAAAAAAAAAAAGAAAAGAAAAAAAAAGACCTTTTTTTGTTTGTTTGTTTGTTTTTTGGTTCTGGGGATCAAATTCGGGAACTTGTGCTTGCAAGGCAGGCAGCAGAACCACCAAATCCCCAGCCCAAAAAAGAGATCTTTAAAAAAATAAATTTACTTTGTTTTTTAATCATGGTTTTGTATGGGAGGGGGAGAAAGTAGTGAAAAACAATTAAGATGTGATATATACATGTACCAACTCTACATGATGAATATAATCATTATATATTATAACCATGTATTAATAAAAATTCTTAAAAAGTAAAATTATTTTGAGCTTTAGGGAGAGAGAAAGTGTGTGTGTGTGTGTGTGTGTGTGTAATTAAAATTTACTTAAGTGTGCTTACAGTTTTTGTGCAGGTGTTTTTCTTTCCTACCACTTCTCTTTAACTAGGTATATGTTGATTGTTCTGTTATTGTTCTCTTTCAAATGTTAGGCCCTCTTACATAGTCAGTTATTTTTCTTTAATGCTTCATTGGACATCAGGCCAAGTGCTGAATTATATCCTTAACAGCAGGAATCACAGAGATTAGTTAGCATATGCCTCCTGTGTAAAGTTTAAGGACAGTCAGTCCCATTGGAGATACCTGAAAGAAGCCTGATCCTCTCTGATCTGTTTTAGTTCTGCTAAGTGTCCAAAGTAGGGTTATGCTGCCTGCCTCATGTTAGGAAAATGTGGCATATTCAGAGGAATCCGGAGGACCTTATCTGGAAGCTCTTAAGCTATCTGAAAGCTAAGCTGCCAGCAATCCATAGCCCTCAACTTGTACCAAGGCTGTGACACTGTTTCTCAGTGAGAGTTACAGGGCAATTTACCATAGCTGCATACCAATTTGTCCTGACGATACCCTATCAGAACCTAAGTCTTAGGTTAGGTTCTAATAGTACACTGTATCAGTTGGTTTTTAACATTAACCTGGAGTTGGGCATTGAGGGAAATAAACCACAATCAGCTTTCATGTTTTAGAATATCCTGAATCCTCACTCATTCCAAGCTATTTACATTTTGATGACTCTAATTTATTGAATCTCTAATTCTTACCACTATGCTGACACACATATCAAGTGACCTACTCAGCAGTCTGATGTGGGTATCTTAAAACTGTCATAGAGATTACATAGCCAAATATGAATTCTGATTGTCATTCCAAAGATGTTCCTCTCCCAGCTTTCCTATCTCATTTAATGTCACCACCACATTTCACATTTAGTGCTCAAAGCTGATATCTTGAATTATTTTGGACTTCTTTCTTTCTTGTTCAGTATGTACTTTTTTTTATCTATATCCCAGTTGATCCGTTAAACTTACTGCCTCTGCCTTCAAAAAGTACCTAAAACTGCCTACTTCTCACCACTTCCATCTCTACCACTCATTTATACATTATTGCTTCTTTTCTGATTTACTGAAGTGAGCTGCTGACTTCTTTCTGTTCTTCTGTTCTTGGCTTCTCCAGTTTATTTTCTATAGGCTAAGGTTAAAAAAACTCTAGGATTCTAAGAAAACCCAACCTTCATGCTATTGTTTACAAGACTTTCCATTATAAGAGCCCCATCTGCTTTCTAACCTTATTTTCTACTTTTGCTAACTGTACTTGAGTCACATTACTTTGCTTGCTTTTCTTTATGAGTAACCATTTTGTGTCAGAACCTTTGTACTTGCTGATCATTTTGTTGAAAATATTCTTAACAGATTTTCTTATTAAATTGGTGTTTTAATCACATCTCAAATTCCTATTTTAAAGAGATTCTATTCTGGATTATTCTATAAAATAGTTACTTCTGACCTTCATTAGGAATCGTATGTGTTTGTTTACTGTCTTTTCCTGTCATCCTACATGAGGAAAGGGCATTCATTCATTCATTCATTCATTCATTGGTTTTCTTGAGATAGGGTGTTGCCGTGTAACCCAGGTGGTCCCAAACTCACTGTGTGGCCCAGGCTGCCCTTGAATTTGCAATGGTCCGCCTGCATCAGCCTCCTGAGTGCGTGTGCCACCATGCCTGATTAAGGAAGGGCTTTAAAACTCACTACCTTATCCCTAGCACCTAGACCAGTGCTAGTTACATAGCTTGTCCTCAATAAATAATATACACTTCAAGTGACATCTTAACCAAATTTAATATGATTTCAAAATAAAAACACTGTATATTTACATGCATTATCCTGTAAGAAAAATCCCTTGTCCAAATTTTGCTTTTTAGTTGTATTGTTTCTAGGCTTGTTCTGAAAAGAATAACAAACTTGTTTTACTATTTCATATATTTTGTTTTAATTAAAGTATTTTTATTTTACCTAAAGATATTTATTTGGTAACTTGAAATCTTTTCCCTTTCTTTTTAAGAACTACATTCTATTTTACCTGTAACCTATTCCATGATAATGTACTTATTCCAAATTCCAAATTCCAAATTTTTATTTTATAACACATCTTAGAAGATATGTAGGGGTTGGGGATTTAGCTCAGTGGTGCCACTGGCTGCCTAGCAAGCACAAGGTCCTGAGTTCAATACCCAGTACCAAAAAAAAAAAAAAAATGTGTAAAGTCAAAACTATTGGGAATAAAGGGAGAGTAAAGTAGATATGCATGCCTTGCCATTCAATATAATATTCTAGTACTTATTTTACCTTATGATTTACTCGCTGTCTCAAACAGACATATGATGATCCTGACCTACGACTCATTCTTTCTTTTTCTCTATTTTTTTCTTTTAGTTAGAAATTTAGTTTATGCTCACTATCCTCATTAGATAGATTTTACTTCTATAATTTAATAAAGCAAAAAGTGGGCATGGTGGTGTACATCTCTAGTCCCAGGTACTTGGAAGCTTGAGGAGGGAGGATTGCCTATTAGAGATCAGCCTAAGCAACCTATGCAGTGAGACCCTGTTGAAAGAGAACAGGGTAGGACCAGGGACTTAGCTCAGTGGTTCCGCCACCTGTCTCACAAGCACAAGGACCTGAATTTGATCCTCTATACAGGAGAGGGGCGGGGGAGAGACAGAGAGAGAGACAGAGAGAGGGGTAGGGAGCATTTAGCAAAATACAGAAATCACAACTTGGGATGACATCTAACAGTATGGGAAAATAACACATATGAAACACTCCACATAGTCAATGCTGTTGGTATCTGAAAAGTCATAAAAATCATCACATGTCCATGGTCTCATGTGCTCTCATAAACACCTCTCTCTAACTTAGTACTATAGCATTTGTAAACTATTTATATCAAGCTCCATAATCAGAACTTTTTTTTTCAAGAGTAGGAAAAATTTATTGAGGGAAAGAAAGCTTCTTTCTAAGGGAGACAGAAGGGGGACTGGATAGTGGGTTGCCCACACACTGAACTTCTCATAGGTATTTTATACAGCAAAGCCATGAGGTGAGACAGGGGCAAAACTATAAGACCTGGGCTAGGGAATTAATTCAGTGGTTCTGCCACCTGCCTCGCAAGTGCAAGGTCCCAAGTTCGATCCCTGGTACCAAAAAGAAAAACAAAAAAACAAAAGCACTATAAGACCCAGTGGAAAATTACAAGGTGGGCATGAGGTGGGGCAGAACTTTTAAGATGATTGCCTTGGATGAGTAATTAATAAATTAATATTGTTTTGTTTTTATTTTTTCCAGGTGTATGGTGGCTGATGAAGTAAGTGTTTTCATATATTTTGTAAAATTCCACTGGATTTTGTTGTTTTTTGTTTTCCATATGACTGTATGTCTGTAGGAAGAGGGAGAAAAAAAGAAATGGAGCATTGGGGTAGCGAGAGGGGGAAAGATAGAGAATGAATGTGTTTGTTCGGGCATGTGTATCTGCAGGACATGTTTGTGGAACCTATGTTGATATTAACATTAGTAATAGTGATCTAAAAGTTTGTATTTTCCTATGATATAAAAGTGTGCTTTGAAATGTAGTCTTTCAAAATGGTGAGCTCAAGCTAGGTGTAAATTCATTCTTCACAACTTCTGAACTAGGTATAACCATTATATGTGTGATGTGTGATGTATGTTTCTGTGTATAATTTTTTACAAAAACCTCAGTTTTATGTCTGGTATACAGAAAATATATTGTAAGATAATACCACCCTTGCTTATCTTCCTAAGTAAGTCACTAGAAAAGTCTTAGCAGCTATGGTACCTTTATCTTCAGTTTGCTATCAAAGAGATGTGAGTAGGCTTTTAAGGTATGGAATCCCCTATAGATTGAGATAAACATTTGGTCAGCATCTGAGCCCATTTAAAATCTTATATTCTCCAACAAACCCCTGTCTTACTTAGTAAGCATTAAACTAATGAATGTGCCAGGTTTATGATGAGCTTTAGCCAGCCAGTCTTTTCATTATGCCAGTTGCTTTTCTTCATCTCTTTTTATTTACATTTACATACTAGTTGTCACATATTGAGTGATTTATCGTCTTTGTTTGAAGTCTTATTTTGTAATTTAATGTTTTTAAAAGCCCTTTCATAATTCCTCAGTACTTAGAAATAGTTCTACTTTTGCATCCATCATAATTATTTTTTCTTTTCACCAGAATTTTTGAAGACTTAATTCTTTAAAAACTATTTGATTTGGCAAGGTTTGTTACATTAAATCCTATTCATAGTGGGTTTTGTTGTTGTTGTTGTTGTTGTTGTTTTTTCTGTGCTGGGGATCAAACTCAGGACCTTTGTGGTTGTGAGGCAGGCACAGCACCACTGAGCTAAGTTCCCAGCCAGGCACAGTGGTGCATATACGTAATCTCACCACCCTAGAGGCTGAGAAAGGAGTGTCTCCATGTGTTCAAGGGCAGCCTGGGTTACATAGTGAGTTCAAAGCTAGCCTGAATGAACTATATAGTGAGACCCTAACTCAAAAACCAGCAAATAAACAAACTATCTTTATACATGAGTATAAAAAACAAAGGCTAGAGAAATTAACAAGATGATGTACAAATTCTAAGATCACAGTTTTAGTCACTAGTATTCTGTGTTAGTAGTAGAGTTAAAATGCTAATTTTATGGAATATTATTGAGCTGCTATGAATGAATATGAATTAAAAATGCCATCATAGAAATAACTTCTGTATACGTGAACTACATCAACTCTGGTGTCTTAGTTACTTTTCTCTCATTGCAGAGACAAAATACCTGACACCCAAACTTAAAGGAGAAAGGTTTACTTAGCTCACAGTTTGTAGAGGTTTTGGTTCATACTCAACTGGCTCCAAGGCAGGGTGGCATGGAGGAGAAACAGTTCATGTCCAGCAAAAGGTAGCAAAAGCAATAAGGAACCAACCACAGCTCTTTCCTTCCCTTATATCTTATCCAGGCTTCTCAAGGCAACTTACATCCTTAATCCTGGCACCCTTGATCCTAGCATTGCACTGTGAATCAGTGCCAGTCTTACACATCCTAGATTCTCTAAAAAAGTCCCATCTATGACCACATGAGTCTTTGAGGGGACCTCTAGACACAGGCCATAACATCTGGTTTGACCTTCATTCTGTTTTCTGTGCTTTTTGCTTTTACCCCAAAATGATATGGAAGTTAGAGAAGGAAGTACAGTTTGTAATTTGAAAACCAATGAATTTCTGGTTGTTAAATTATTAGTATATTTTAATAATGATAACTATTTCACTCATCGAACAGCTGAAAGCCTTAGAAAAACAATTTTACATCTGTGTTTTGGGGTTTTTTTTTTTTTTTGGGTACCGGGCATTGAACTCGGGGCTTTCCATTTGTGAGGCAGGTGGCAGAACCACTGAGCTAAATCCCCAGCCCTACATCTGTGTTGTTGAACCTAATGTTTTTTAGATGCTTCAATACCCTTTTGGAGTACTGTACAATTTAGCTGTCTGCTGTGATCTTTCTTCCCTTAAACAAGTAGGATTGGAAGTCCCATTTGACCCAGCTATTCCCCTTCTGGGTCTTCCCAAAAGAATTAAAAGAATGATACCACAGTGATATATGCTCACCCATGTTTATAGCGGCACAGTTTTTAATAGCTAAAACTGGGATACAGCCCAATTGCCCATCAGCTGGAGACTGGTGTAAAGGATCAAAATGTAAAATTGATATTGTGTTATAGGAAGAAAAGGTCTAAAGGAGTAGGGGAAGTTGGAGGGCGGGGAGGTAAGAAGGAAAAAGAAAGGGCCTGGGATTTAGCTCAGTGGTTCCGCCACCTGCTTTGAAAGGGCAAGGACCCAAGTTCAATTCCTGGTACCCCCAAAAATAAATAAATAAAAATAAAAGAAGGGAAAAGGAAAAAAATGGAAACAAAGTCTTTGTAAACAGCGAAGGATGGAGCAGGTGAAGGGAGGCCAGGGGAATGGGGGAAAAAATAAGAACTAAGATACATCATGTAGAGGTACAAAATCCCAATGAAGAATATAACTGCATTGTACACCTAAAATGTACCAAAAAAGAACTACTGCTCAGGTTAAAATATTTATATCTATCTATATCTATCTATCTCTCTATATGTATATATCTGAGTGACAATTTTATAACATTCACACACAATGAACTGGTTAAGAAGCATTGCCACAGTTGCCCCTGTAGTGTTTTGCTGTTGATAATAAAGACAGTTCTTTGCACTTAAAAGAAATTAGGTATCAATATGGGTAAGCAATTCTGATTTACTAAAGGTCATCAATGACTAGCACTGGACATTTGAGTTCTTCTAGAGTACAGACCCTAGAAGCAAATACCATTATTGGTTAAAAATTTGTCTAAAAAAGTTAGTCTCTGCACTGAAAACTATTTTCACAAAATTGGAAGCTACTAAAGTGTTTGAATATAAATACTTTGCCTTCTTGTTACCGTATTTATGACCAAGTTCTCTGAAACTTTTGGGATTTACTCTCACATGAATGTGTGCTCTCGCATCTGTCTCACCCACTAATATCATCGCCTCCAGGCTTTGAGGTAGCAGGGAGATTCACCAGGGAACCCTCTGCTCACCAGGGATGCTTGGCTCCTGAATAGGGATCGAGAGCCCCATGGTGCAGAGTTGGGCTGATTGAGAACACTCAGGAAGTGCTCATGATATGAGTGTCATTCAAGAAAAGCAGAGGACCGTTCTGAACTGTACACATCACCAACAATGATACCATTGCTATGTGCCGAAGAGGACTTGTGAGGAATATGCTCTCTCTGCCATGTCATCTGTTCTCTGCAAAGTAGTTTGGGTCCAGGTAATTATAACTGGTGCTCTGGGACACTCAGTAGTCTGTCTAAGAATGTCTCTGACCTAAAAACAGGTTCTAGTTGGTGATCTTCCTTGTGAATATCTGTTTCATGTAGGCAGTCCAACAAGAATCACAGAAATCCAAAGACATCCCTGGAGGACAATCTTGGCAGTGCCACTGAACACCCTAGATAGGTTCTGTGCTACAGTTATACTGGTAGCTAACATGCTGTACAAATCCACTTTCAGCTTGCATTTGCTGAAGTTTCTGCTTCTTTAACTTTTTAAATTGTAATGGTTCTTTATATTCAGATAAATTCTTATACATGATTGGAATAATTTCTTTATCCAATGCCTCTGGCCTCAGTGCCCCTGTGGCTGTGGAAGCAGGGTCAGTCGTTGTCCTTGTCCATGTACACACGCGGTTCATGTGAAGCCATGAAAGTGGAAGGTTTAAAGAGATACTTATTAAGTGGGTGCTGTTGTCTGCTTGTCAGAGACTTTTCAGAATACATACAGGTCTGGTGTTCTGCCCCGAACCGGGATGCCAGCTTTAGTTAGCTTTATGAAATACTTATGTACTTGACTAACAACCTGTTTCACTGTCCTGTTGCCCAGTTCATTTGTAGTCTTCTGCCAGTGTTGAGATTCTACCTCCTCCAGAGGGTACTTCAGGAGCAGCTGTTCAATTTTTTTCTGCTCTTCTACCATCCACCACTGGTTAAATGTCTTGGGCTTGGTGGGATCACACAGCCAGGCTCTTACCATCTGAGGACAGCTGTGGGAGCCTTCTGGACCATCATTCAAGGGCAACACGGAGTACGAAAGGGACTATCCTTCCTTCTTAGCGTCCACAGGAGTTTTTGTTCTAGCAAGTAAACCTACTTTATCAAAAACTAACAACTCTCCTGGTATGTCTTTTACGGTTTTTAAACTCTTTCAAAATTCCCAAGCCTCTTGGTATATTGGTCCCATACAATCTCAGGCAACTGAACAACTCTCTGTTGTTGAAGAAGCCCTATATCAGCTTTCTTCTGCAGTTTCTCCACGAATCCGATGAGGTGTTTTAGCGCTTCCCTCTGGTGCTCACCTAGGCTCTCAAGGACCTAGACTGCTTGGGAGTGCTGAACCTTGAAGACAGCAGTTGTCTGCAGCAGTCTCTGATAATCTTTGTTGTGTTTCAGTGCCACATGATCTGATTCAAAGTAATAAACATCAGGATCATCATGTCCCTCTTCTGCAATGTGCTGATGGGCACTGTCTTTGGCAGGTGGCATATGTCCAATACTGAGTCTTCCCTCTGAGGATGACTTATCCCTTCGCTTTCATAGTTTTGAGAGTCACAACATAAAACTTTTTCATTTGAGAAATGTCATCAGGATTTGTCGGAGACTCACTTACATTATCACTAGCAGTTGCACCTGTTTCATTGGGACTAAGATTATTCTCCTCAAATGGTCCATTCTCTCTACAAGGAGAAC